ATTTCCTAAACTTACTTTCTTACATGTGTCTTTGTCTAGGTGTTAAAATTTCAATTTAACAGAAAGGAGTGCAGATAATGATAAAATACAGCTCTTATGATACTGCCATGTAGTTGCAAGCCTCAAAGAGTAATGACACTTGAAATTTATCACTGCCATTTAAAAATTTTTCCACATTTATGTGTGGAGAGTGCCATTTTGGGCTTCACTGTAGGAGTGACCAAAGCTGAATTCCTGCTCTATAGGAATTCATACACAGAAATTCAGACAAACACACTGAAGAGAAGCTGGATCAGATCAGAGCTGCCATTCGTCAACTATCATCACAGCTTCCTCCACACTTCCAAGAACCTTCACATTGATTCTACATTGTTATCATGAGTCTGTTCCTCTGCTCAATTACATTTACCTGAAGTCACCAAATTGTGTCATGCTTGCCAGCAATGAGTACAATCTGCAGGTGAAGTGTGGTTCCTAAACTTGTTAGCTACATAACAACCACTCTTCAAGTTCCTCCAGGACAGTTACCACATCTTATGTACAGAACCAGTATACAGCAAATGTTAGGAATGAGCCAGTACGGTGTGGCTACTTATTAAATAATTTGCTGGATGGATGACAAATGAGTGGACAAATAGATATGGGGATGGAAATGTAAGAATGACTATACTCTGCACACCAGGAAGATCAATGGAAAGAAACAAACATTTGTGGAACATACACTGAAATCTATGTATAAAGCCTTCCTCCACTTCTCCAGTACCTCTTATTATTTCCTTTTTATATGTAAGGAGATTAAGGCTTACAAGATATAGTAACTTATCCAGCCATACAACTGATAAGAAGATCTAACCCAGACATACCTGTAATCCCAGCTACTCAGGAGGCAGAGGCAGGAGGATCTTGAGTTTGAGGCTAGCCCAGGCAAAAAAAATAGTGAGACTCTGTCTCAAAAATATGAGAACAGAGGGCTGGGGGGAGATGCTCTGCTCAAATGATAGAGAGATTACCTAGTATATATGGGGCCCTGGGTTCAATCTCCAGCACCGCAAACAAAATACAAAAGAATCTAAACCAGTTTGTCAGATTTCTAGTTTACTGATAAAGGAAAAGCTTTAATTTTTAGATTTTGGAAATTTTCAAATATTAACAGTGATTTTGTTTTCTTCATAACAATGACTATAGAAGAGTACAGGAAAGAAAGCTGTGGTACTGGAATAAGGAAAAAAGGAGTAGCATACAAGCTCTGTCACCAACTACTGGGGTATCCTTGAACAACTTACTTATCCTCTCTTAGCCCATTTCCTCATCTGCAAAGTGGAGAGGACCAGTTTTGTTATAATTAAGAGGAAAGAACACACACACGCTCTCTTCAGAAGTTCATTCACAACCCCTTAAATGCCACTGATGCCAATCACCTTCCCAAGCACAAAACTATAGAGAACTTTAAAGTCAAAGGAATCTAAGAGGTCATCCAAGCCAAATTCTCCTAAATAGGAAAGGAGGTTCAGATGGGAAATGGTCTGCCCCAGACCCCAAGAAGAAAATGGCATGGCCAGGGCAAATTCTCACATCTTCTGAGTTTGTGTCTGTATTCCTTCTAACACATGGCCTTCCAGTCCTAGAACTCAAGTTTCCATTTTGTAAATATGAATGTCATTAAAAATGAAAATTAAGCGGGGCACTGGTGGCCTGTAATCTTAGCTACTTGGAAGGCTGAAATCGGGAGGATCTCAGTTCAAGGCCATCCTGAGTAAATAGTTCTCAAGACACCCTCTCCCCATCTTCAAAACAGCCAGAGCAGTGCCAGTGGCTCATGCCTGTAATCCTAGCTACTCAGGAGGCAGAGATTAGGAGAATCATGGTCAGAAGCCAGCCCAGGCAAATAGTTTAAGAGACACTATCTTGAAAAAAACAAACACAAAAAAGGCTGGCATAGTAGCTGAAGTAGTAGACAGGGTGCCTAGCAAGTGTGAGGCCCCAAGTTCAAACCCCAGTACCACCAAAATAACCACAGCAAAATGGACTGGAGGTATGGCTCAAGCCACACCTTTGTGAGAATCTGCTTTGCAAGTGCCAAGCCCTGAGTTCAAACTCCAGTCCTACACACACACACACACAAAGAATGAGAATTAGGCTGGCAGAGTGCTTCAAGTGGTAGAGCACCTGCCTAGCCAGTGTGAGGTTCTAGAGTTCAACCCCCCAGTACCATCAAAAGAAGAAAAAAAAAAAATTAAGCTGTGTGGGGTAGCTGTGTGCTTGTAGTCCCAACTACTTGAGAGGCTGAGGCAGAGCATCACTTGAGTCCAAAAGCTCAAGATCAGCATAGGCAACATAGTGAGATGCCACCTCAAAACAAAGCTGACAACTTAGGGTGATCCTAGGCTATCATCTGATTTCTCAGAATCAGTGTCTTCAAGATCATACAATCAATGCCTAGTTCTTTGAGGGACAAAAAAAAAATCTACTACAAATCACAAAGAGCAAGGTGCCCCAGAATGAGCAAAGTGTAAACAGCCTCTATCCTCTTCTATGAAGGCTGTCTCCTAGGCTTTCCCATATAACCTCAGTGCATAACACTCATCCCAAACAGATTTCCTGTATTAGCCTGGTAATTAATTAGCTAAGAAGGTAGTGCTATAACAGTAATCATGTTATAACTAAAATATGCCCATGCTTTACCTCTCACCCTACTAACCTCTAAGAATTACTATCAATATATATCTTAAATGATACCTGACATCAGCTTCATTTAAAATTAACTCTCTCAAAAAAAGATAAAAAAAAAATTTAAGGTAAAGGAAGTAAAATTGCCCTCTCATTTTCTCCTAACAATCTGGAAAGTTGGGCTGAGTATCGGAAAGCACAGACCCATTATAAAGAAGAGGTGACTGATGGCTGCAGGTGATTCCTTTGACAGTTCCAAAGAAGCAGCTCTGGCTCCCAGCCCACTCTCACCTCAGATAGCACTGCCTTAGAGTCCCCAAGCAACAACCAGACAAGCACAGTGCACCCTACCCCCTCAAAGGTAGCCTCTTCAAGGACATGGTAACCACCTATGATCTGTAGTCAAAAGGCCCACACCAGCTCACACTGGGAATGGCCAGTCATCCTCAGCCCTTTTTCAGTGCTTCCTAGTGTAGGGATGGTACAGTGTCCTCGCCCACCCACCTCCACAAGCCTCAAAACTGCTTTCCACCCCAGCTCCCTACATATAACACCATACACTTCTGTGTACTAAATATTGCTGGAATTCATCTACTCCACCACCAAGAAGTAAGCCCAAGTTATGACTCTCACAGACCACTGGGAAAAGTTCCTTGATTGGTCTTTCATCCTCACAACCCCTCTCAAGTATACTCTGTGCAGCACAGTCCTAGTGATCATTTCAAAACACAAATCTAAGGGATGGGGTATACCTCAATGGTAGAGTACTTAAATAGCATATAAGAGGCCCTGGGTTCAGTTCCTAGCACCACACACACACGAAAAAGGAAAACCAACAACAATAAAAACCCCACAATCTGGGAGGTTTTTTCACTTCTCCATGTGAACTTGTTCAAGGCTTCCCAATGCCTTCAGGTTAAAGAGAATGCCCAACCATACTCCCTCTGCCCCTGGAACTTAACTTTGCCCCCCATCTTCCTCACCCTTGGGGGCGGTTCCAGTTACCCAAGTCCTCAAAACTGCAGAGCTCCCCCTTCCTCAGACCTTCTTTCCCCCTCGCTTAAGACGCACTTTCACAGGGATTTGTCCCTGATCCAGCCCCAGATTAAGTCAGATCTCCCTATGATAATGCTCTCAAAGAACCAAATACCTCTCCTGGAACTTGGTGATTACTTAGCTGTGGCTGTATTATGATTCACATTTAACATTTCACTTGGTGACTGTTTATGTAGTATCAATTTTCCCACCCGGGGAAAAACTCCATGAGGTCAGAAATCAGGTCTGGTTTTGCCCACCACTGCATCCAGTACTTGACAGTGCCTGATGCAAAGTAGGCCCTCACTAAATATGAAGTAAGTGGATGGCGATGTGGTAAAAAGAGAGGAAACTAATAGTCTCTTAGCACTAACCATGTACCAGTCATTTCACTAGATATGCTTTGCCTCTCTTCATTGAAACCTCATAGTATTTTAAGGTATCAACCTCATTTTATAGACAGGAAAATGGAGTCAAAGAGGCAAAATGATTTGCTCAATATCACATAACAAGTAAATGTTAAAGTTAGGATTTTAACCAAAGCCTAACATTTTCTTTCCAGTGCAAAATTCTGCCTTATTTGAAAAGTCTTCAAAATGGTGAATTCTACCTCTGGTGGGAACTTCTAGAAGATGGCTTTGCAATCAAAGTTGCCAACCACTAACTACATCCAGAACAAACTGCAGAAATCACACCTAGACAGAGAGTACCGAGTAGAATAATCTAATTTTAAGAATTCAGCATAGAGTATTTAACTTCAGAGTAGGATGCTAAAATGTTTTCTTTTGTTATAAGATACTTATTTAACTTATGTTGAAAACCAGTCAGACAAAAATCCCAAGGACTTTTCAGTATAATGTGAAGCAACAAGAAAAGGAAAATACTAATATAATGGTAAAGGGAAAATAATGTCATTAAGGTGTCTTTAATGGTTTGATCCTTCTGTTAGTATACCATAAAGTATAAAAAGGGTAGTGAATATCTTATATCTTCTTTTAGGAATAGACTAACAAAAACTCATCTATGGAAAGGAAGGCTAGCAAAATATACTCACAAAGTTAAGTAGCCAAGAGTAACTGCTAATATGTTAGTACCTTATTCTTCTTTAAAAATGTATGTTAAAAAAAAAAAAGTCAATTGAGGAGTAAGACAGCTCCTAATTCAAAACACATAATCACCCTGGATTTGTCTCATTATTGGGTACTTGTGAACCCCAGGAGAACTCTTATTAAAGGAGGAGGGAAGGAGGGAGGCAGAGAGGGAGGGACAGAAAAGGAGGGAGGGAGAGGAGAGAGACAGAGAGAGACAGAGAGACAGACACACACACAGACACTATTAGGCAGCCAACTTCATTCTCAGCCACCTTCTTTGGGGGTGGGAGAGGGAGAGTAGGACTACTTGGGCAGGTGGAGGGAGAGGAGAAGGAAAGTCAGAAGGCCCTTAGGCTCAAGGCCACTGCCTCAGCTCAGGCAGCAATAAACAAAATGTTGGAGGGAAGGAAACACAGCCAACATTAAAAAGCCCAGGGTATAAATTTTTGGAAAGCATTTCTAAGCTAAAGAAGCTTAACATATTAGAAGGGACCATTCCCATGATAACAGCAAATTTTCCAAGTTTGGATGAGGAGCACTGTTCTCAGAGGGCATTTTTTTAAACATAATTTTAATTTGCTGACCTTTTCTAAGTTTGCAACATTTCTTCATGGCTTCATGCTTTTCTGCAAAGTTTCAAGTGACTTTCTTTGAAGAGAGCTATTTAAGGCAATGATTGTAGAAAACATTTGTTCATAATTATCCAGACATACACTGGAACAATGCTGAAACAAGAGCAGCATGCAAAAAATGTATTTAAGGACTATCATCCCAAAATGCTGCTAAAAGCTATTAACCAGTATGTGTTAATTGCCACAGCATTCATATTAATTTTCACTTCAGGCTCGACATTGTGGAATATTTCCCCTGATACATTTTAAACAAAGTTTAATTTAAGGAACTGCTTCTATCAACACTTATGAAAATTAACAGCCAAGCAATTAGCACTCATGAATTATCCCTTCCCCCATGCGCTCTGCAGTTTCCCTATTAAAACAGTTTCTAACAGAGAAGTAGTTACTTTCTAACAAGTTAACACAATCAAAGTCACAGTTGTCTATATGAACCAGAACTGGTTCTGCTTTTTAAAGTACTTGTCAAGGCAAACATTTCCCTTTTACTTAAGAAAGTAGTCAAGAAGGTAAGATATTTAACATTTTATTAAACTGCCAAGAAATTACAATATCCAACTACCTATGTAAAAAATAGCCATTGCCCAAAAATGAATAAATAGATAATTATTTACCTTCCTATATATTTCCTGTTAATCTTCCTATGCTTTTTGCAGACAGCCCACTTTCACTGAGTCTGCAGTATATCTTGTTTAGGGATGCTATTCTAAAATCCAAGTTCCTCTGTCTCAATCCTGTCAACAACCTAATAGATCACACAGAGGAGAAATTGTCACTATGTTCCCTCTCCCTTCAGAAAGAGACAAAGCAGAAGTAGGGTATTTGTTGAGTGCTTCCTATGTGCTACGTACATGTCCTGCTAAACAAGCCTCATCTCTTTTAATCCTCAGGAAGAAGACACACTATCATAATTTCATTCTGCATGAGAACTGGAGCTTGTAGGGGACAAAAAGCATCTTTTCCTTCTACCCAGCTAAGTTGTTGGCTAGGGCATCTGTAACAAGAAATAAGAAAACACAGAAAAAACATCTAAATTTATTTAATATAAATTTTGCATGATACAGAGGCTTCATAAGGAAAGAAGACCCCAAGAAACAATTAAACCTGGGTGTTTTTTTCACTCTAGGTATGACAGTAGAAAGTAGTCAGAAAATATGATACATTTTCCTCAAAAGGTATGAGGAAAGTGTAGTCAACTGGGAAAAGCTTAGCAGGCCAGCACAATTAAAATTCCTCAGCATCCCCCCACCTCTGGAAATAAGGAGGTTCTTCTCTTCCAAGTATAGGGAAAATACCCTTCACATGAAGGGAAGGCCTTGTGGCCTGCTTCAGGGGAGAAGGGCAGAGGACTATCAAGAGTCTTTCCTGCTACTTCTCAAATTCCTTCAGCTTATGATAATTAGTATAGCAAGATAACATATTTTGGGATAGTATTTCCTGAACTCCCAGCAAGCTCAGGAGGTTAACTGGCTAACCTGAGGGCATTCTGTAAATGTATGCAAACTGAGGTCTTACTATGGAGTAAGTCAGTTTACTAACTGCACTATTAAATTACAGGACATTTCATTATGCTGGGTGCTTATCCTAGCATTACTGAGGGTCTCATCAGCCTAGTGACGCCACCTTTTTCCAGAAGTCAAGAAACAAGGTCTGAGAGGTGGGAAAAAAAAAAATGATTAATATGACATAACTTATAATCAATGCATCTCTGAGAAAGTATGCCTACAGGAAATGGGTACTTACATTTCTGATGGTCTAATGATGATGATATCTGCAAATTCAGTTTGAGCAGAATAGTGATGATATAGTAGCAAAAGCTTCTCAAGTAAGGGATAAGGCATGGAAGAGCAAGAGTTAGATCACTTCTTAAAACATAACATGTGGGCTGGGATGCAGCTCAGTGGTATAGCATGTGTGAGGCCCTGGGTTCAATTTTCAGCATGATAGATAGATGAATGAATGAATGAATAAATAAATCCTGAGAAACAGAGCAGACAATCCACATACTCCAGGGCCCTTACACCAGTGACACATGTTCACAGCTGAGACCATTCCCTCATTACCTCAAAGCAACTCCAAGCACAACCAACATTTTCCACAAATAGTGAAATTAGAAGGACTGGGGCAAGAAGTTTTCTGACATCTCATTCTCTGGAATAGAGGTTTCATTTCATTCATGAGGCTATCAGGTCCTTTCTCATCAGTGCCAAAGAATTTAAGGAAGATGCTGAGCCTGATTTTGCCTTATCTGACAAAGGATCCCCTAAAATCCCCTTGCAGACTGTCTTGAACTTTTTTCAAATGATCAGTAAACAGACTTTAACCTATAGATCCAAAACAAGTTACAGATGGCATCATCAATTTGCCAAAAATGTAATATAAGCATCATAATAAACCTGACCAAAATTTATCATAACTACAACAAATTATAGGCCTAAGTACAGCTGTTTCCTCTCAATTTCATGCTCTAAAAATAACCACAATAACAATTTTTATAAATTAGTTGGGCACTGGTGGCTCACACCTATAATCCTAACTACTTGGAAGGCAGCAATCATTAAGATACTTGAAGCCAGCCTGGGCAAATACTTTGCAAGACCCTATCTCGTAAATATTCAACACAGAAAAAGGGCTGGTGGAGTGATGCACGTGTTAGAGGGCCTGCCTAGCAAGTATGAGGTCCTGACTTCAAACCCCAGCTCTGGGGGGGAAAAAATTACAAATTATAAACCAGGTATAGGAATAAAAAATTACTTGAAAATATCTGCTTTAATATAGCACAAAAGCTAAAAGATGCTGACTCATGGACTCACTAAAACCAACAACCCAGTTTGCACAAATTGCTAAGGACACTAGATGTGCTTGCTTAACTACAATACAATTGTTGTTCTGCACGAAAAACAAATCCTTTCTTCAACACAGTTGAATCTTAAGAAGGATTTTACAGCAGCTTGTCTCTTGAGGAAATACATAATTAAGTAGTTTTTTAGTATATTTAATTAGACCCCAAACTCTTCCCTATCCCCTTCTCTCCCCAATTATGTACCATTTACCCAAGAGACCTAAGCAACTCAGTTAATTATGTAAATAAGGCAAGCATTATTCCCAAGAAAAGCATTGTGTATATTTGGAGGGAAAAAACTACATATTTTAGCGGCTTTAACAAATCTTTGCATAGATAGATAGATAGGTAGATAGATAAAGAGGGGATATTAAATTAAATGGAAAATCCTTACATGTGAGGCAAAAAGCATGGCATTTCAATGACAACACAGTGAATCATTAAAACAGGACACTCATTTCATTTCTTAAATATGAGCTGAATAAAAATAAAATAATTTTAAGTTACAACAGTAACAAAAATTTAGTGCTGAATGTCAGATGATTTATGAGAAGAATCAATCAGGAAATTATTAAAGTCGACTAGCACAGAAAAGGCTTTATTATCAAGGGGTTGACATGATCTTAACTCTAGAGGCAGCTACAGTGCTGCTATAACTACTACAATCCCATTATTATGCAATCACAAAATGCTAATTTGATCATTTTGAGGTGTTATTTGAATAGTCATTTTAATTTCTAGGTTACAAAAAATCTTGACTCAAGTATAATTCTCTCTTAATCATTGAGATGTCATTGAATATCATATTGATGCATTTCACAAAGATAAAGACTAATTTAATATGTATAGTACAATATCCTTCAAATATTAGCTGCTTTCATTACATATGTGCCAAATGCATCAATATTAAATAATAGATGAGAACAAGGGTTTAATTGTATTTTAGCAATTGTAATATGTAGGATAATAATAAAATAGCATCGTATCATAAGACAGACTTATCAATATATGAATCTTTCTTAATCAATGTGTAATGAATGGTGACTGCTCAATGCTCTCACATCCTTGGCAGATTACAAAAAGACCTGCTACGACAAAAGCACAGAGAATCTTAAGTGTAAACACACATCTAACAAAAATAATTCCTATGAGACTGAGGAAACAGCTTACATTTAAAATATATAGATAGATAGATAGATAGATAGATAGATAGATTTCCCTGGCACTTCAGAAGATAGCTATCTATATAAAACAGAGTTCACAACCTTCTGACAAATTCAAATGCAGCCTAATGGTATAAAGGAAATTCTAGAATGCAGTATTTTAAAAGGTCTGAGCTACTTCCTTGGCATGAAAGCATTATCACATATTAATTATTCTAGCAATTATATCCTTAAATAATGAGATTGTATCAGGCAATGCAAGCAAATAAATCCCACCTATGAATCCTAATCCCAAAAATAACTTCTCACTTACCTAAATGAGTCAATTATATACATATTTTTAAACCCTTTGCAGTCCAACCCACCATTTTCCTGAGGCTGACATTCTAGTCTCCTGGGAACCTGTATCTTTTCCCTACTTTCTACTGTACAGGATAAGTTAGCACAGACAGGCTAAAGAGAAGCATCGCAGCAATTCAATCCATAAATGAATTACTAAATGTACTTTCAGATGTTTTCTAGAGGAAACCCCTGAACATATTAGGATATTCGTGTTATTTACGTATTTGTTTCTAGTTCTTGTTCTTCCCCCAAAACATCAACAACCTCACCTGCAGATGGCCACACATGCTGAGTTCACCCTACACAAACTGATTGAATTGTCTGAGGTAAAATGTTTCAAAGAGAAAACGTCTCTTTGCTCAAAAATGACAATTGACAGAACTAGCATGTGAATAAGAAGAATGCAAAGAGCTGTATGCTTATTAATTGCAATGGTGCTGAAATAAGAAATAAGATAAATTACACAACCCCTCCAGGCAATAAGCTATCACTTAGCACCCCCATACCACTGCCAGGGGGCAAACATAATGGTAATAGATATAAAAATCAACTGTTACTGTCTCCTATAAAAGGCCCCGCTCAGCTTAACACAGAGGTATGGAGCAGCAGAGAATCGGGAGAGGGGTGCTGCAGGTGGAACCAGGTTCTACCTGAAACAGTGGCCATTTTTCTAAAAGGAAAATAAATGTACTTTAATTTTCTAACAGCAAATTATTAGAAAAAGCAAGAAAAAAAATAAAGTCATCCTCCACAGCAAGTATTAAACAAGATACCCCTGCAATGAAAGACTGAAATGCAAAAGAATAGCTTAGAAGTCTGAAAGGAAGCTCAAACCTCAATGATTTCTGCAGTTATATAAACAAGACAGAGCCACTTTCAAGTCTTTCACAACACAATTATACCTTCGTTAATCATAATCCAACAAGTGCAAACATTCAAGCATAATTAGGAGATAAAACAGGTAAATAAACACATTCCTCCTCTAAAATATATATTTATATATGTGTGTGTGTGTGTGTGTGTGTGTGTGTACATATGTATTTGAAGGATTAAAACAGTACTGAGATATCTGTAAGTACAGGGAAAGACAGAGAAAGAATAAGAAGTATCTCAGGACTGTTTTGTTTTAATCCTCCCAAATACATTACTGTGAAAACAACATAGTCTCCAAATTCTTTACTTTTTTTTTTTTTTAAATTTTTGGCAGTAGTGAGGTTTGAACTCAGGTCTCATGCTTGCTAGGAAAGTGCTCTTCTGCTTGTGCCACTCCACCAGCCCCCAAATTCTTAACTTTTGGTGTCTACGGTCTTAGAAAATGTGACTGACATTCTATAATTACTGAGGCACTTTTGAAACTCTAAATCTAATAATAATAACAAAAACAACTCCACTCAATTGCAGTTCTATTTAAAGAGATAAAGTTTTAAAGATGTGGCTCAAGCTGTAGAATACCTGCTTTACAACCAAAAGCCCTGAATTCAAACCCCAGTCTCACCAAAAAAAAAAAAAAGAGAGAGAAAGAGACAAAGTCTCAGGTTTTTACTCACCTTGCCATCAAATTTGGAATACTCATTAAAGGGGTTATTCAGCTGCAGAGGGCACTGCTCCAGGCGTACAGATAATATGGACTGCTTTCCAGAACTTGGAGGCTTTACTTTGAGGGATTTTTTTTCAAACAGTGACTTTAACTCCTGGGCTGAGACAGAAGAGGAAGATAAAAATATCTTCATGATTACACACATAAGAGTCAGCTTGCCCACCTTCCCTAAAAAGTCTGCCTTAGAATCTTAAAGAGGGAGTATCTAGAGTCATGTTCAGGTCTGATGTGTGTAGAAACCTTCACATATACTTCAATGTTTGTGCACTGAAAGGGCAGAGCACTGAAAAACATGTAGATCAGGCCATCAATTTAGAAGGACTAGTGATTAGGAAGGGGGAAGGGTAAGGCATAGCTTCAGATCCATCATCCTATAAGAAAAGTATTTGCAGCTAGGGCACCAGAGCTTTGGCCCAGTATTGCCACTACCAGCTACCTCTCTGGGCTTGTCAAACTAGAAAATCTCAATGATCTCTCATGGCTCTAGTACAATGTGATTTGGGATTCTAGATTTTTAAGACTGAGACCCACATCTTCATCCCATCAAGCTCCAATGGCATGCAGCACAAAATCTGACTGATAAAGATGATAAGGCAGCCGGGAGCGGTGGCTCACATCTGCAATCCTACTCACTCAGGAGACAGAGATCAGGAGGATGAAGGCTCCAGGCCGGCCCAGGCAAATTGTTCTTAAGACCCTATCTGGTAAATACTGAATACAAAAAAGGGCTGGCAGAGTGGTTCAAGTGGCAGAGCACCTGCCTAGCAAGCATGAGGCTCTGAGTTCAAACTCCAGTCCGGCAAAAAAAGAAAAGATTATGATTAGGAATAAGAGAAATAACAGTCGTTAACATTCATTATGAAAGTCACTGTATCATTTACTCCTTTTTATTTATTTATTTTTTTGGGTCATTTACTCCTCATAACAAAAGCGCTTAGGAAGTGGATTCTAGAATTATGTCAATGTGGGATGTTTAAAATATTTCCTCTGGCCCTGGGATTTGTTGCTATGTAAGAACACAGGGCTAGGATTCACAATCAACAGAGTTTTTGGCCATTAGTCACTAATGAACAAATCAGACACTCAATTTTGTTGCATGAATGAATGAATAAAATGATTGTCACAAAAAAATGATTGAAGGGATTCAGATTAATTTATTATTAAAGCTCCACCTCTTACTCATTAGTGAATCAAGACAAGTTAGTTCCACATCTTCTCAAAAATCATTTAATTCTCTAAATTAATCTGAATTATCGCTCAAGATAGTACATAGATAAGTTCACAGGGGTCATTATACCTTTTCATTTTGTGAAAATTAAAAACTATACATATTTAAACTTCTAAAATAAATCAATCTGAGATTTTAAAATCTTCAAGGAACAGATTCAACCCATTCCACTCTTGAACATAGTCAAATTAAACAAAGACAGATCAAAAGAACTCTGACACACTTACAACTTTTTAAAAATATAACTAGGGCTGGCAAAGCACCTCAAGCTGTAGAATACCTGCCTAGGAAGCAGGAGGCCCTGAGTTCAACCCCCAGTGTTGCACACACATACATGCACACACACACAAAAAAAGCCACTATAAAAATGTAACTAAAACTAACCAAAATTTTTAATGGACTGGTGAGGCAAGTTTATCAAATGAGTCTCTGTAAAGTGGCAGTGAATCAGAAAAAGTTAAAGTGCCTCTTCCCATCTGCAGGGAATAGGTTCCAAGAGCCTAAGTGGGTGCCTGAAACCACAGAGAGCACCATAGGTTTATACATCATGCACTGCCTAACAAGATTGCCAAAGACAGCCCACATATATTATGGTGTTTCCATACGGTTATGTCATCTAGTGATGTCACAGCCATCTTAAGCACATTCTATAATTGTATTGTCAGCAACAAAAAAATTGCCTAATGACGTAGTTCTCAAAATGTATCTCCAAAAGTCAGGTGGTATATTATATTATGATTTTTCCTACACATATCTACAATAGTTTAATTTATAAATTAGTAACATTGACTAATAAATAATTATTAGAATATCCTATAATAAAAGTTATTTAAAACTTACAGATCATTCATTTCTAGAATTTTCCATTTAATATTTTCAGATCAAGGTTGACCATGGGTAACTGAAATCACGGAAAACAAAACTGTGGATGGGGGAGGGAGCTACTACATCTCTTTTTTATTTTTTTGGTGGTACGGGGGTTTGAACTCAGGGCTTCATGCTTGCTAGGCAGGTGCTCTTATCACTTGAGCCCCTAATTCTTTTTTAAAATATGATACCTGACTATTCAATTCCAGATTCTGAACATATAAGCACATTTATGCAACATATTAAATTCACATTTGAATAGCTTTGACATCACAATTAAAGTGAGATTTCCAATATCACAAGTACCTTTCTATATGTAATCTATTAATTTTATGGCTACACTTGAGAATGGAATGATCCTTTATTAAAGCTGACTAGGGGGTCATGAAAAATGCTACATGTTTTCTCACCTTGTGCTCACAAGAGTCTATGAGATAAAGTTACTAGTGGCTCCATGAAAAAACTGAGGTACAGCTGTGTAACTTCAGTTACAGGAGGGTGAGATAGGAGGAGATGACATATTAACTCTTCCATCTCAAACTAATTCTCAACCTCAGACACCTTCCTCTCTCTTTCTCTCCTTGCTTCTTGTATCATAAGGAAATGGAAACAATCTAGGAGAACTTTTGCTCACTCTCATCTGCTTATCTCCCTGCCTTTGCTCCAGTTACCATGTCTGAGCTTCTTTCTCAGGTCTGCCCCTCCCTTGCACATGAGATCCCGTCCACTTTGCCAACTAAAGGACATCACTCCAGCAATTCTCTTCTCTCTCTCTTCCCCTGTCAATTTTACCTCTTACAAGATTATTTCACAGCAGCCAAAAAGCATACTGAAACATTGATCATTAAACAAAAACACCTCTCTCTATCCCCTACTCCCTCCCTCTCTTTCAGTTCTCTGGTTCCTCAAAATGGTGACCAATATTCTTTTTTTTTTTTCCTTTTTCTTTTATTATTCATATGTGCATACAAGGTTGGTTCATTTCTCCCCCACCCCTCCCTTACCACCCACTCCGCCCCCTCCCTCTCCCCTCACTCAATACCCAGCAGAAACTATTTTGCCCTTATTTCTAATTTTGTTGTAGAGAGAGTATAAGCAATAATAGGAAGGAACAAGGGTTTTTGCTGGTTGAGATAAGGATAGCTATACAGGGCATTGACTCACATTGATTTCCTGTGCGTGGGTGTTACCTTCTATGTTAATTCTTCTTGAACTAACTTAGTACCTGTTCCCCTTTTCCTATTGGCCTCAGTTGCTTTTAAGGTATCTGCTTTAGTTTCTCTGTGTTGAGGGCAACAAATGCTAGCTAATTTTTTAGGTGTCTTACCTATCCTCACCCCTCCCTTGTGTGCTCTCGCTTTTATCATGTGCTCATAGTCCAATCCCCTTGTTGTGTTTGCCCTTGATCTAATGTCCACATATGAGGGAGAACATACGATTTTTGGTCTTTTGGGCCAGGCTAACCTCACTCAGAATGATGTTCTCCAATTCCATCCATTTACCAGCAAATGATAACATTTCGTTCTTCTTCATGGCTGCATAAAATTCCATTGTGTATAGATACCACATTTTCTTAATCCATTCGTCAGTGCTGGGGCATCTTGGCTGTTTCCATAACTTGGCTATTGTGAATAGTGCCGCAATAAACATGGGTGTGCAGGTGCCTCTGGAGTAACAGTCTTTTGGGTATATCCCCAAGAGTGGTATTGCTGGATCAAATGGTAGATGATGTCCAGCTTTTTAAGTAGCCTCCAAATTTTTTTCCAGAGTGGTTGTACTAGTCTACATTCCCACCAACAGTGTAAGAGGGTTCCTTTTTCCCCGCATCCTCGCCAACACCTGTTGTTGGTGGTGTTGCTAATGATGGCTATTCTAACAGGGGTGAGGTGGAATCTTAGTGTGGTTTTAATTTGCATTTCCTTTATTGCTAGAGATGGTGAGCATTTTTTCATGTGTTTTTGGCCATTTGAATTTCTTCTTTTGAGAAAGTTCTGTTTAGTTCACTTGCCCATTTCTTTATTGGTTCATTAGTTTTGGGAGAATTTAGTTTTTTAAGTTCCCTATATATTCTGGTTATCAGTCCTTTGTCTGATGTATAATGGCAAATATTTTCTCCCACTCTGTGGGTGTTCTCTTCAGTTTAGAGACCATTTCTTTTGATGAACAGAAGCTTTTTAGTTTATGAGGTCCCATTTATCTATGCTATCTCTTAGTTGCTGTGCTGCTGGGGTTTCATTGAGAAAGTTCTTACCTATACCTACTAACTCCAGAGTATTTCCTACTCTTTCCTGTATCAACTTAGAGTTTGGGTCTGATATTAAGATCCTTGATCCATTTTGAGTTAATCTTGGTATAGGGTGATATACATGGATCTAGTTTCAGTTCTTTGCAGACTGCTAACCAGTTTTCCCAGCAGTTTTTGTTGAAGAGGCTGCTATTTCTCCATCGTATATTTTTAGCTCCTTTGTCAAAGATAAGTTGGTTATAGTTGTGTGGCTTCATATCTGGGTCCTCTATTCTGTTCCACTGGTCTTCATGTCTGTTTTTGTGCCAGTACCATGCTGTTTTTATTGTTATTGCTTTGTAATACAGTTTGAAGTCAGGTATTGTGATACCTCCTGCATTGTTCTTTTGACTGAGTATTGCCTTGGCTATTCGTAGCCTCTTGTGTTTCCATATAAATTTCACAGATTTTTCAACATCTTTAATGAATGTCATTGGAATTTTGATGGGAATTGCATTAAACATGTAGATTACTTTTGGGAGTATAGACATTTTTACTATGTTGATTCTACCAATCCATGAGCATGGGAGATCTCTCCACTTTCTATAGTCTTCCTCAGTCTCTTTCTTTAGAAGTGTATAGTTTTCCTTGTAGAGGTCATTCACATCTTTTGTTAGGTTTACACCTAGGTATTGATTTGTTTTGAGGCTATTGTAAATGGAATTGTTTTCATACATTCTTTTTCATTTTGCTCATTGTTAGTGTATAGAAATGCTAATGATTTTTCTATGTTGATTTTATATCCTGCTACCTTGCTATAGCTATTGATGATGTTTAGAAGCTTCTGAGTAGAGTTTTTTTTAGGGTTGTCTGCAAATAGGGATATTTTGACAGTTTCTTTACCTATTTGTATTCCTTTTATTCCTTCTTCTTGCCTAATTGCTCTGGCTAGGAATTCAGTACTATGTT